TTAAGTTTAAAATTTTAAATTTCAGGTTTTTTTTAATTTTATTTATAAATAAATAAATTAAATATATATTTTATTAATTAAATATATGATGGTCACAATTTCATATAATTTGATCATAAACTTCATATAATTGGTTACATATTATTCATTGATCACAATTTTCATACATCACAAATTATTTTACGGTCACAATTCAAAAATTTTATAGGTCACAATTTGTTTATCGGTCACAAATCAAAAATTTTATACGTCGCAATTTATTCATCGATCACAAATATATCAAATTAATAAGTCACATATTATTCATTGGTTACAAATCACCAATTTTATATCTCACAAATTATTTTATAGTCACATTAAAAATTTTTATATGTCACAATTTGTTCATCAATCACAAATAAAAAATTTATACATCACAATTAATTTACTGGCACAAATCACAAGTATTATAAGTCATAACTTCTTAGGCAGTTACAAATTATCAAATTATCGGTCGCATGTTTAACAATTTTTTAGGTCACAAATTATCGAATTTTAAGGTCACATTTTAATAGTTAGTCACAGTGAACCAAATAATTGGTCACATACACCAAAACATCCCACCCTTGATCTCAATTCATCACCAATACTTGATCACAAATCAACCAAATAATTGGCCACAGACACTATCCCATTGTTGCCACCAGCCACCACCGTCGTCACCACCACCATTTTTGCACCATCACCATCACCACACTGTACCAAACCATCGCAGCACCATACCCAATCGCCAATCACTGCACCATTGCCATCACCACAGAGGCTGTCTCTCACGCCAGCCAACACCACCATGGTCGCCACCACCAACTGCAAACACAACAAAACTTACCTAAAAAACTCTGGCACCAGTTCATTGACCACCACCACCTCCTTCACCAAAAGCCACCCCCACTATCAGATTCAATAAATCCCATTTGATCCACCACCAATCTAACACCACCGCACCAACAAAAATTATTGCCAAATCACGACGCAGAGCACACACACACACCATTATCGTACTCTACCTCGACCACTACAAATCGTCGGAGAAACACCACAAATCGGCAAAACACCACAACTCGGGATCTGGTTCGATCCACCACCAATCTAACACCACCACACCAACAAAAACTATTGCCAAATCACAAAGCAGAGCACATAGATATCATCATTGCACTACACTTCGGCTACCACAAATCGTCGGAGAAACACCACAAATCACCGGAGAAACCCTACGGGCGGGACTGGCACATATCGTCGCAACTGCTGCACCTCCGACATCATGAAGTCACGCCTCAACGCTACACTTAGATGCGCCGTCCTCAAGCTTCGAATCGCCCTCTCTCGCGGTAGTGGAATTGGAACGTGAAGATTGAATTGTAGGGGTAAGGATTTCCAGTTGGGTGGGTTGGGGATAGGTTTAATAGATAATGAGTTGGGGATAGGTTTAAAAGATGAATAAATATCTAATACTTGAAAAAAATTTCTTAAAATTTGATTTTTGAAATCTGCATCTTAAAATTCTGGTTTTGTGTAATTTTCACTTCCAATTTTTGAGTAAAAGTGCGTTAGGCCCCAAATAGAGCTTTTAGGTTACCGAAAATTCCTCCCAAACACACACTACGACTAGAGTTATAGATTGGTGTGATGCTAGAAGACCCCAGTTCATAGGTGGACCAATAAGTCTGAATTTGGCTTCCATTATCCAAAAAAAATTATTATTCTCTCTTATTTTTAACCATACAATCTTTTAAATAAAATCTTTTTCCTTTTTTTTCAATCATACATTTTTTTAAAGAAAAAAACACTTCTAAAAATTATAATTTCAAATAATGAGGGTGAAACTGGGGCTAAATATGACAAATGAACACTAAAATTAAAGGTACAAATTGATTGCGCATTAAGCCCCCGTTTGGCACCCATTAATTTCTCATTCTCATTCTCATTTTTCATTTCAACCACACATTCTTCAAATAAAATAATATTACACACAAATCAAAAACTTTTCAACACTTTTCCACCACATATTCTCACATCAATCACTATTCCAAAATTTCTATTCTCTTCAAAATTAGATTCAAATTTCTAAAGAAGTGTTTGTCGGACCGCATCATGTTGCATCTTGGAAATATACATATTCTTTTAAATTTATTTTTTCTTTTATATAGGGTTCCTGTGGATCGATTCATGTGCGTCATGGGGCTTATGTATTCTCTGCTGTCGAAACTTGGTCTCCTCAACTACAGAGGCCAACAACCTACCTGGTTCTGTATGTAAATGAAAAGGAAAAAATAAAAATAAAAAATTGAGTCAAGCTGATATGGTTTGATTTACACCTCTTGACTTGAATACTTGAATATTGTGTTTACTAAATCGAATCATGTAGTTTGACATTTTCGTTTCCTGCTTTTGTCCTACCTAATCCGTCATCCTCAATCGTAATTTTCTTTGTTTGAACAAAAATGTATGACTTTGTTTTATTCTAAAAACATTGATACATTATGGCTTGTTTGAACCTCAATCTTTGGGAGAGTAAATTCTATAATAGTGATTTTTTTTTGAGGGAATATGTAGTTAAAAACTAAGATTTTTTTTTTTTTTTAATTTTTACATTTAAAATTGTTTTATTGGAAAAAATATGTGGTTGAAAATGAGTTTTTATATAATGGGATTCAAATAAGGGATTAGTGGAAATCTCGTGTTCACTAAATTTATCGCATTGTTTCATATATTTCGTCCATACTTTTGTGCTAGATAATCCGACATCCTCAACCCTAATTTTCTTTTCCTACACAAAAATATATTATCAGTGCAGTTTGACTTTTTTTTTTTACTTTCAATTTCTATTTTTGCCTTATTTTGCATTAATTCTTATTGTAAAGGAAGTAGTACTTCTTCGTTTACTACTTTAATATTCGTCATTTATTTTCAATATAAAAGAAGTAGTATTTCTTCGTTTATTGATTTCATTATTTTCATATAACCACGGTATTTCTCCGTCATAAGTTAGGGCAGATTAATAAAATCTCGGAGGTACGTACCGCCCTCCTTTAATTAAAAAAAATAAATAAATAAAAAAAATTAAGAGATTAATTATACTTTCAGCAAAGGAAAGTAGCATATAATTTGTGACAAACAAAAAATAAAAGCAAGCCTGTATTCATGGTACGAAGATAGTATTACACTTAGGTGAAAATCTCGCTAAATCGTATCATGTTGTTTTATATTTAACATTTTCTAATTTTTCCGCTACATAATCCGACATCTCAATCCTATTTTCTTTACCCACACAAATAGATATGCTCGACCAAGTTTTCTTTGCATTATTTTTTTCTTGGAAAATGTCAAAGCTGCTAAAAAAAACTACTTTAAATTAATGCTTTTTTCAACCCTATCCAGTCTCCGTGATTTTGCAAGGAAGACTCCATGCATAGATTAATTCAAACTTAATAGCGTATAGTCAAGTCAAAATTAAAAAAAATTGGGCCAAGTCAATAACAATTTTTTAATTAATTAATTTGTTTACATTTGAAAGTCACGTTGAAACTGACTATAAATATTCACCTACCTCTCTACTTTTTATTCTCATTCAAACCTTTTCTTGCTTCAAAGTTTAAGGTTTTTCGCAGATTCAGATATTCCGACTCAAGATGAGTGAAGATCCGAAGGCATATCGATCGATGGCTCTCTTGAAAACTGCAACTTTTCTAATTTTTTGGGTTTTGTTTATGTCCATGTTTATTCAAGAAGGAAACGCAATGAGACCGTTGGGTATGGAGCAATGGCTAAAAAGAGAAGCTACATTGCTGGCCTCTCTTCCAAAGGGCGATGTGCCGACCTCCGGTGGTTCTAAGTGCACTTATATACCGGGTGGCGGCAGCACTGGCTCCTGCCCATTGAATGAAAAGCACTATGCTGGTGGTGGCGCCACCGCCCATGCACCTCCAGCTTCTCATACTGCCACATAAATTTTCCCAGCTTCTGTCGAAATTGATGAAACCAGAAACAAGGGTTCAACTTTTTTAGCCTTTTTGTATATGAAAACATAGGAAGAACACCAAATATAGCTAGTAATTGTAACTTTTTTTACAGAATTTATTTATTTATTTTTCATGTTTCTCCTACTTGGAGCAATCAATAAAAGTTTTGATTGTCTACCTCGTAATTACATAAGTATATTTTTCTTTTCACGGTTGTGCATGTAACGTATTTATTCACACTCGTGGCTATTGTATTTAGCTCTTGTTTGATTTAGATAAAAATTAGATTTTTAATAGATTTCGATATAAGTTGATGAATTGTGCGGTTGAAAGTTGATAAAAGTCGTGGATTCCATGAAATGTATAATAGAAATGAATTTGAGAAAATGAGAACCAAACAGAGACTTAATTTTATTCCGAAGTACCAACGTTGAAAGGAATTTAACTCCGACACTCGATATATATGTCGAGTAGTTTTACCATATTTTATCTTTATCTTTATCTTGTCTTTCTAAGTTGGTGGTTCGCTTGAGAACTACAATTCTGATATTTGATTGTTTCTTTGAATTTTGAAGAATTTTGGTTTGAATTTTTTGAAATATAAATATTATATAAACATTTGGAGTCCTAGTCAAACTTGTTTAACGGACTAGACCAACCTCTATACGATGATTATTGTTTCTGTATTTTAGTGTCGTAGAATGTTACTCAAGGTGATATCTGGTAAAGAGTCACTTATTTATTTTTATAGGATCGAAATTGTAGACAGATTAAAGACAAATAATAATACGGCTGACCTACGTGTACGTGTGTTGATTTAATTCTACACTATATACGTTTGTCTAAGCGTTAAAAGTTAAATTTATTTTTTAGTAAATTTTCATTTGAATACATAATTTATTTCTTATTTACTAAAAAATTACTTAAGTTAATTGAATAAAAAATTAAATTTAAACTACAAAATATTTTCATAATTGAATAAAAAATTAATTTTGTAGTTAAAATAAAATCTAAAGTGTAATCGTTCTATTATGGGATTCGAAGACTCAGTAATGTGATAATATAATGAATTAAGATGTCTTGTAGTTTGACTTCATTCTCGTCAGACTAGTCATTGGACAAACACAAAATTAAGGAAAAGAGTTATGAAAATAATGGAACAAATTCTGTCTTTAAGTTGTTTTTTTTTACGCGTTTATGGTATAGTTTAAAGTATTCAATTTCACAATTCTCAGTGAGAAGAATCAATTCATTTCAATTCTTAAAATATTTGGATTGAACCAAACGATACCTACCCCTAAAGATTGTGCATCATATGTATTTGGATTGAACCAGATGACAACTACCCCTAAATAATGTGCATATATGTCACATTGGACACTATTAAATAACAAATGGAGCTGCACTACTGGAGTTAAGACATGTTAATACTTCATTTCACATTAAGGGATTACCGTACATGTAGCTTGACAGATGCACGCTTCAATTGGTTTGAATTTCCGCAATTCAAATCAGTCGACATGCTTGCATATGTAACACTATTTGTACAGATTATTCGTACAGATAGCTTTATCCTTTAATTTCATAAGGTAATTATATTCACAAATTTCGTTAATTGAACCATTTTTAATAGAAAAGGAGGTCTCTAACTTTCACTTATTTTCACACTTATAACCTTAACTTCTTTCGTCGTATTTTTATCCTCGAATTCTATTAATTAGAACATTTTGTCCCTCGTTAGAGAGGAGTAAAATGACTTTATTTGCCCCTCATAATTTTAAATAAATTAGAAACAATGTAAAAGTTCGACAAAATATTTATCTTAAAATGTACGGACAAAAATCATCATTAAAGACGAGATGTGCTAAATTAATTGAATGTTATAGATAAGAATGTGAAAAAAAAAAAATATATTCCTGTGTATAAGTTAATTACCCTATTTCTTATTCTTCGTTAGTATTGTTCCACAACATACAATGTACTTTACTACCAACATAAGAGAATTTTATTCCAGTCAATTATTCCTGAGTATAAAGACAACTTGTTCCGTGTCCCTTTTTTATGCATAAGAGTGGTTTGAACACTTTTTCTTGGGTAATTGGCGCAAAACGTCCCTATATTTCGTTTTTTGATGTAGAACGTCCCTACCTTTCACAATTTTGGCGCAAAACGTCATTTCCCCATTTTTTTGACCATTTTACCCTTCTATTAAAATAAAACAAAAAAAAAGAAAAGAAAAATAAATAATAAATTGCAATTATAGGGTCCAAACTTTTAAAAATGTGCAAATCAGTCACAAACATGAAAAAATCATCACCCCCTAAGCCAGCACCTTTGAAGGCAAATTCCTCGACCTCCGATCACCTTGGCCGCCGGACCAACATACCACCTTGAAACCCTCATTGCCCTCTTCACAACCCACCCAACCACCAACCCCAACTCCGACAGATTTGACTGGAAATCAAATTCAAAAATTACAACGCAGGCAATCTGCGAGTTCACACAAGCGAACAATTCAGACGAAAATTGAACCTGTTCTGGGCGTAATTAGGTTTGACCCATTAGTGGGTCAACTGCTCTTGATGAAGACGAACCCAACCCAGGGTCCAGGTTGTTCGTGACCCTGGGTTGGCCGGACGGCGCCGAATCAGAGTTCTTCGGAGCGTAGAGAAGAGCTTGCGATTGGTGCTGCTTCATGAATTAATTCAGTTTGATGGTTTGTTGTTTGGAGTGAATTGAGGCCATATTCTGTGTCTCCTGGACCTGGGCAGACAGTTCGTGGTGGTCCGCGACCATAACGGTGGCCGGAGGAGAGATTTTCGACAGGTTGCAGAATTTCGATTTGTTGGTTTTGATGCATGATTTCGGGCATATAAGTGGATGAAATGGGAAGTTCTTGAATGGAAATTGTAGAGGATATTGAGGAGATTAAGTTGATAGTGATATCCGGCGGTATTGGTGGCCGGAATGAGGTGAAAATTNATTCTGTATTTTTCTTTTCTTTTCTTTTTGTTTTATTTTAATAGAAGGGTAAAATGGTTAAAAATTGGGGAAAATGACGTTTTGCGCCAAAAATATGAAAGATAGTGACGTTCTGTGCCAAGAAATGAAACGTGGGGATGTTTTGCACAAAACCCATCAAAGGTAAGGACGTTTTGCGCTAATTACCCATTTTTCTTTTATGATTTATAATCAAAGGTCTTAAAAAAGGAACATTTTCGTTTATGCTCTCCGATAAACCCAAAAACGTGAGAACTAAAGTGTAGAGCGTAGATTTTTTTTTCTATTTGAGTAATCGAAAAATTATGTTACGAGATACCATAATTATGTATAAAATAAAATAAAAAACCATCTGAATAATAAAGTTAGAAAGCACTATGAATAATGCTATTTGTACATAATAGAGTCATATAATGGTTTACATACAGATAAGGTGTGAAAAGAGAGTGTGAAAGTTTTTTTTTTTTTTGGTTGAAAAAATTCCAATTCAATTATATCTCACCACATCACGTGTATTTAAACCATTATGCACATGTCGCAAAACCAAACACGTGTGATTTCGTAACCTCAGTCCTCTTACACCCAAATATCTTTTTTCTTTAACCCTAACAAAATAAGCCTATGTTTGGTGGTGTTTACTTTAATTTATTTTTCATACTTAATTTAAATCACACATTTACACATTAAAATATTTCACATGTAAATTCAAATTTTTTTTCTACTTTTTTACCACATATTTCGTCAAAAATTATCATTCAAAACATAGTTTTTAAAATTAAAAGGCCACCAAATGGAGGCTACGTACCATAAACTAAAATGTGAGCTTCACAACAATAATCATTATACAAAAAAGGGTCAACTTTAAATTTATTAAAAACAAATTTTTAATCTATTATAGTTTTTAAAGATTTTTATTTCCAGTCAATGAAGTTGAAAGTGGGAATAGTAAGCTAAAAAATAATCATAGTTTGTCAAGTCAGTTTCCTTTTGATATTGTTCAACCAAGATAGTCATTAGTTTCCTATTATGTTATTTGATTTTTTTAAATACTTTTTATATGATTTGAATAAGATTTATGTAATTAAATTTATTCAGTTGAATTTTATCTCGACACAGCTTCACGTCTAGATGAGATTAAATTTTTATTTAGCCCTGTTTAGTTCAACTAAAAATCATAAACTAAAATTTAAGTCAAAATCAACAATTAATTTTAATTACACATTTCATGGATCCCACAAATTCACAATCACACATTTTATTAATTTTTATAAAAATCTACTAAAAAATAATTTTTATTTAAATCAAGACTCGTTTGTGACAATCAAATTTAGATTACGTGCGACGTCAAAACCTCAAAATATTTTGACCAAAATCTGATAGTTATTATTGGAAGATAAATTTCATGTTTGAGTTCCATTCTATAAAAAATCATTTCTCTCAAATTTATTTTCAACAATATATTTTTTTCAATAAAATAATTTTACACGTAAATTTTAAAAAAATTCCTTCTTTTTCACCACATATTTTTCAAAAAATCATTATTCTAATACCTATTTTGTTTTTGTGTTTTTTTAAATGGAGATCAGACCAACCTAAAACCTCCAGACAATTTCAAGGTAGAACATTACTTGTAGAAGACGCAAATGTTCTGCCTAATTCTTCAGTTCCTCAAAAGTTCTATCTTATCGTGTATGATTCGGCAATAGAAAAATATATAGTTGGAAATACTTATCCCGGCGGAATACATGGAAAAGTTAATATCCTGCGTTGATTCGATTTTCCTATTTGGTTCATATTTCAATCAAAATCTATCAAGGGTATTTTGCATATATGTCACAAAATTTAAAAGTGAATCTATTACGAATCGAGATGTGAGTTTTAGATTTAAATCACATAGTAAAATTCTGTAATTTAATATAACGTGTAGAAATACTTATACTAATTATTGCAGTCATTAGTTGAATTCTTAGAACAAATACTTCGTTTAA